AGAAAAAAAACAGTAGGGAGATCGCTTTTTGAATCTGCACATCACAAGCGTTAGCGTTATGCAACCTGTCATGCTTTTACACTAAAGGAAAATCGAAAATGCTTACACAACAATTTTTTGTTTCTAATTTTAAAGGCAACTGCTTTAAAAAAATCATTTTTGGTTGCGTGAATTGTGGTCTACAAAGAATTGTTTTTTTGAATGTTCCAAATGTCTTTGAATGACGCGCGTGAAATGTACACAAAAACCGAACAATTTCGAGAAAGATTCGAACATGTAAAATGATTCTAAATATAGTGTGCAGTGAGAGATTTTCTACTCATAAACACTCGCAACACAGTGATGACGCGCACGCACATACCTATTATACGCATGTAGCATACAGAAAAAAAAATAGTTTTGGCATAGTGCAATAAATAGTTTTATTAAGTAAATGACCAGATATAAGTCTATTCGAAATTGAGACAGACACACCACTTGCTGTTTTGAGCTGTTGTACTAACCAAAATTAGTAGTTAAAAACGAAAATAAAAGTCTTTGGTAAATTTTATAANATTAGAAGCCATTCATTGAATGTCTCTTTGTCCCCTGTTTAAGCTTCAAATACGTTCAATGGTAAATGTGCAAAAATGTATTTTGCATTTTACAAATAGAAAATACATTTGGAAAAGTATTTTAAATGAAATACAAATACGTATTTTTAATTTTGTATTTGCATTTTAAATACAAGTATTTCAAATAAATCACATCTCCGACCACCTCATATTTTTCAATAGATGATGCCATCCTTTGATTATTGCATGTAATGGAATATCTCTACTAGTGATGAGCAAGGCAACACCAAGACCAATTCTGTTTATGGTAATTACGCCGAAAATTTTAGAATTGAATTGAGGTTGTGGTTGTATTCCTTCAGGAAACGTTCGTTGTTAGAACGGAGGAGTAAGTAACCTGATATTGATTTCCGATTGCTTTTCACTATAATTTAGATGAGCTGAACAATAATTATAGCGGTGAGCAAAAGAAAGTTTAAGACCAAGACTTGTCCCGTTTAGTCTTGCTTATTCAGTCTTGATCTTGATCCTGCTCAAATACTTCTAGTCTTGTTTTAAATTTTCGCCTTGTTCATTTAATGTGATTTTTTAATAATTTTTCTATTTATGGACACAATAATTGTCTTATGTGCTGAAATTTTCTGTCATACATGCGAGCTTGTTATGACTTTTAAAGAAAACAGTGGTCATATTCGTGAGATTATGAAAACGAAAAAAAAAAGGAGCATACGTAATCCTAAAATGTAGCACCGTACTACAGATGGCGTTTACTGCGCCATTTGTGGTATTTTCTAAAACACACTGTTAAGATAGCAGGTAAAAGTTGGTCTGTGTTCTGTCGGAGCTGCCTGCGGCGCGCTGATGATGTCCGAAAAGATCGAAATCGCGATCCGCGTCTGGCAGTTTCGACAGAACACAGACCACTTCGAATTATTTTATTATGGAAACTCTTAAAAATATTACCCATCTTCCATTGGTGGAACTAACCAATAAATCCTACTGTATATGATGGTATTAGACGTCTTTATTTAATGTTCACACCGGCTGGTACATTATAACCTTAAAATTTTGATGCTGCTCACCACGAATAACGGTAGTCCCCATCCAAATTTGCACGAGTTCAACTAGTATTAACGAATTCTCTAGATAGGATATCATGGTACATTATCTAATTTTTACCCTATTTAACAACTCTATATGTAACTACTGAGTTTTATACCACTAAAAATTACTTATTAAAGACACAGTAAGATGAAGTTAATAGAAAACAGAATTAATTGTTGATAAGATGGTTTTAAGTACCTAAGTGTATAATAAATAAAAACATTAAAACACAATTTAGTTACCATAAAAATGCTAACTGTTTTTGAATCGTAAAAATTAGATACATAGGAAGCTATCTCTTATTATTGCATAATATAAATATTTCTACTACTGTTATTTTTTGAAACTCTTCGTTGATCAGCATGTTCACAAAATAAAGCAAAAAAATAGGACAGAGAAAGTAGTGTAAGTACAAGTTACAAAACAGGATTATAAACAATCATAAATAGATACTAAACGACGACTGCTTTCACGTTATGAATACAATAATCTTCAACTTTGGTTTTAAGTAAAAAAAAAATAACGATAAGGTCTTTGCACCGACATTCCTTTCAGGTTAAATTCATTTGTGTATAACCTGTCTTTGTGAAGTTAAAAATTTTTTACGTCTGATGTACCTTGAAGCATGATGAGTCATATAATGTTGTACAATTTTATAAATTTCCTCAATAAATCGCCCTGTATACGTACAAGTGTTTGTACAACAACTTCAACGCCAAAACTGTTACAGTTTGCCTAATTTTTTACAGTCGTTTGTTTATATTTAAAATAAAATTTTGATATTGTTTACTATCTGCCGCATATTCTTTATTATTGTCGCTCTTATAAACGATTAGTAAACAACTGGAGCGGAATTAATTAGAAAGTTCGATTGTTTTTATTATTACATTACGTTATTGCCATTACCTATAACCTACTGCTAAGGTAAGCAACAAGACCGTTGTGGAAGTGGTTAAACAAATAAAAAAAAGAAGCTAACGCATGCTGAACTTTTTCTAATGTTACAATTGCAAGGTAAATTGTCTTTTATTACATGCAATAAAAACAAAAGCGGACGGTCGTTCTTCCAAAATTGGTCAACGCAACGATATCTTGTTTTGGACGGATTTCGCGTAATGAAAAGTTTATTTGCATATTGCCCACGAAGCACGAACGTATTCGTTTTTATGAAAGACACTCGCTATTAAAGTTCAACTCGTATTACTCACTAAAAATGAACAGAACAAGTACCTTATCAAAAATGTTGCTAACAATAATGATTTCGAAAACTTGACATCATTATATTTCCCTATCTTTCTGTATATAAATTGGGGGTAGGGACGCATTTTTAAACATAAATTGAAAACGTACACAAATTAAAAGAAAATAATGCCTAAAAGCTTCCTAATTGGCCTTTGTATTCCACTCTACAATTTTTTGCGATGTTTTTAATTGTGTTCGAATATCAGATTTTAAGTAGATTTTTATCAAAACAAATATAATTATGAAGAAACTGGATTTACGGATTCTAATCGCGTAGTATTGAAGAAATCTAACGGATCGTGGTGACGTCAAAAATATTCGACGTTTCGTCTCATATCAAAAGGGACATCTTCAAGAACTTCAAGTTGCCGAAGCATGATCTCAAACGTTGGTTCTTCAACGTCAAACACGTTTAACGCCACTATTATCCGTCATGGTGATTTGATCAATAAGACACGGTCAGAATCCTCAAATCCACACGACAACCGTGAAAACCTAAATCAACTTCCAAATATATTTTTTACTATCGTAATATTTACTGCTCAAACATCTTGAACTAATTAAAATGTCATCTGTTTTAATAAAAATGACTCGAAATATGCAGTTAAATAAGGCAAAATATTAAAACATTGCTAAAAAATTTATATGTCCCAGTTGCATGTCAGTAACAATTGGATACATTACTATTTCATCATCTGACATCTATAAGTGACCTAGTGAACGAAACTACTCAACTTTTATTATACCAAATTGACAAAATTATTACTGGCTACTGCTTTTTTATCATTAATACTTTTTACAGTTCTTAAATAAGAGTTACATCAGGGAATGACATGTATACAGGATGTCCAATAAGTCGTTTATGTTCCCTTTTTAAGTGCTTGATCATTTTTACAAATAAATAAAAAAATAATATTATCCAAAAAAGCTGTGCTTAACCAATTTTGCAAGAAATAGTCTTTTATGGTCAATTATTTCCCCTAATTACATGTTACCGATGTAGGAGGCAAACACATGTTTTTTCTAGAACTTCTAAATGCTTACATATGTATGTACATAACACATAATAAAAAGTTTATGATGCAGGTTCAAAGACACGATTTTTGTGTGCTGGTTTTTTTTTTCATCACAGCTGCACATTTAGACTTATGATTTTAACAGATGGAAAAAGGCACTCTCTTTTGTTATTCTACAATAAAATTCAACAAATGAACATCTACAACAACAATAAGATTTAAAATAATAAAGAACTACTTAATTAGAAACGAAAGTGTTACAAAAATAAAAAAGAGATAAAAACGATTTGCGAATCTCTTTGGGGGCACAGTATGCGATGGACTGACCTCAAAATTGAAACGTTGCAGCCTTGATTGAAAACTACTGCTCGTTGTCAAAAATTATAAACAAATTTAAGGCAAGGAAATTTTGAAATAAGATAAAAGTGTCAACAGATTCGTTTAAAAAAAACAAGCATTTTACCAGCCAACTCGATACGCTTACAACTGTCCAAAAAAAGTAAAAAACAGAGATACATATTTGTTCGTAACCTCCCACAGGACATGAACGAAATAGAGTTTCTAAAAATAAGTCCGCTCCCAATTCCTATTCATTCCTACGACATTCTTGTTATTATCTTCACATTATGTCAAGTTAAAAAATGGAACTTTTAGTAAAGGGGCCAAAATGGGCCGCAACACGTTTTACACACATCTGGTACCTATATTAATTTTTAAATTAGTCCATAAGCTTTTACTTCTAGAAACATTTGTTAGAATTGGTACTTATAGTCAGTTGTTTCTATAAAGCAGTAGCTTTCAGCGTACTTTATTATCTACTACTTTTGAAATTGATAAAATCTCAAAAAAAGCCAAATTAATTAAAATTACTGTTGCTGCTAATTTGACAGATAGGGCACAGTTTGCGACTTTGGCACTTTTTTCACTAAACCAGGGTTAATGAATAAATGACAGAGATCGACGGCTAGCAAGGGTTAAACAAAACGGCACGGCCAGGTGCCACGGCCAAATTTGTATTAAAATTACTCCGTGATATTTAAACAAATTATTAAATTAAAAAAGAATGCGTTAAAAGGCCACTCACCACGTAAACGTCAGCGCTGCACAGCTTCAATGCGACTGAGTAAGAGCCGCGCGCTATCAGCTTACCAAACGCTCCTTACCAGGAAAGACCCCACCACTTAGGAGACTTGCTAGGAATAACCCTGCTATATATTTCAGTGCACATATTTAGCCCCAAACCAGCGGTCTCAAAAATGTTTGACGAAACAATAATAATATCAACACGAATGGTATCGATTAGTCATAAAAGGGGCTCTCATAGCTAATTAATTAAAAATGATATCCATTTCTTCCTTTAATTTTTTGCAGATGTTAAATCAGAGCCACGATAAGGGATCAATAATTTATTTATTATGTAAGAAATTGATTCTTGGCTAGGCACTTGGTGAAGATATAAGAAATAAAACATTTGGTACACTTTTGATTCACAGTTTATTTAGAACACTCTAACAAAGAGAATTCTCTTTGATAATGGTTTAGCAGCCGAAACAATTGTTAGAGTGTTCTAAATAAACTGTGAAACAAAAGTGTACCAAGTGTTTTATTTCTTATATCTTATCAAATATGTTTCACCAAGTGCCTAGCCAAGAATCAAT